AAAATCCTCAACTAAATTTTAACAAACCGAATTCAGCAATACATTAAAAGGATCATAGACATGATCAAGTGGGATTTAATCTGGGAATTCAAGGTTCTTTCAATATCTGCAAATCATTTAATGTGATGTACCACAGGGCGCCTGGGTGGCTCAGTTGGTTAAGCGACTGCCTTCAGCTCAGGTCATGATCCTGGAGTCCCGGGATCGAGTCCCACATCGGGCTCCCTGCTCAGCGGGGAGTCTGCTTCTCCCTCTGACTCTCCCCCCTCTCATGCTCTCTATCTCATTCTCTCTCTCAAATACATAAATTCTTTAAAAAAAAATGTGATGAACCACATACAAAACAAAGGATGAAAATCATAAGACCATCTCAATAGATGCAGAAAAAGCATTTGCTTAAATTCAACATTCACTTTTGATAAAGACTCTCAACAAAGTGAGTAAAGAGGGAATATACCACAACATAATAGAGGCCACGTATATGACAAACCCAGAGCTAACACCATACTCAATGGTGAAAGGCTAAAAGCTTTTCCTCTCAGATGAGGAACAAGTCTGCCCACTTATGCCATTTGTATTCAACAGTATGGGAAGTCCTAGTCACAACCATTAGGAAAGAAAAAGAAATAAAAGGCATCCAAATTGGACAGGAAGAAGTAAAACTGTTGCTATTTGCAGCTGACATACTATGTATAAAAAAAACCTAAAGCCTCCACCAAAAAACTATTAGAATAAGTGAATTCAGTGAAGTTGCGGGATACAAAATCAATATACAGTAATCAGTTGCATTTCTATACACTAATAATGAACTCTCAGAAACGGAAATTAACAATCCCGTTTACCATTACATCAAGAAGAATAAAGTACCGAGGAATAAATTTAATCAAGGAAGTGAAAGACCTGTAATCTCAAAACTGTAAGACATTGATGAAAGAAACTGAAGATGACACAAATAAATAATGATATACCATGTTCACAGACTGGAAGAATTAATATTGTCAAAACGTCCATACTACCCAAAGCAATCTATAGATTGAATGCAATCCCTATCAAAATACCAATGGCATTTTTCACATAACTAAAACAAATAATCCTAAAATCTGTATAGAACCACAAACAAAAACAAAAAACAAATAGCCAAAGCAATCTTGACAAAGAATAACAAAGCTGGAGGTAATCATGCTCCCAGATCTCAAAGTACACTACAAAGTAATCAAAAACAGACAAATAGATCAACAGAACACAACAGAGAGCCCAGAAGTAAATCCAGGTTACATGGTCAATTAATTTACAACAAAGGAGGCAAGAATGGGGAAAAGATAGTCTCTTTAATAAGTGATGTTGAGAAACCTGGACAGCTACATGAAAAATGAAACTGGGCTACTTTCTTATACCATATACAAAAATAAACTTAAAACGGATTAAAAACTTAAATATAAGACCTGAAACCATAAAACTCTTAAAACATAGGCAGTAAGTTATGTCTTTGACGTAAGTATTAACGGTATTGTTTTTGGATCTGTCTCCTTAGGCAAGGACAACAAAAGCAAACATTAACAAATGGGCCGGGGCACCTGGGTGGCTCAGTCGTTAAGCGTCTGCCTTCAGCTCAGGTCATGATCCTAGGGTCCCGGGATGGAGCCCTGCATCTGGCTCCTGCTTGGCGGGAAGCCTGCTTCTCCCTCTCCCACTCCCCCTGCCTGTGTTCCCTCTCTCGCTGTGTCTCTCTCTGTCAAATAAATAAATAAAATCTTAAAACAAAACAAAACAAAACAAACAAATGGGCCTACAACAAAATAAAAAGCTTTTGCACAGTGAAGGAAGCCATCAACAAAACGAAAAGGAAACCTACTGAATGGGAGAAGATATTTGCAAATTATACCCCAATAAGGGGTTAACATCCAAAATACATAAAAAACTCATACAACTCAATATCAAACAAACAATACGATTAAAAAATGAGAACACCTGAATAGACTTTTTTCCAAAGAAAACATACAAGAGAAGCAACAGGCACATGAAAAGATGCTCAACATCACTAATCACCAGGGAAATGCAAATCAAACCCACAATGAGAGGTCACCTCACACCTGTCAGAATGGCTAAAATCAAAAAGACAAGAAATTACAAGTGTTGGCAAGGGATGTGGAGAAAAGGGAACTCTCGTGCACTGTTGGTGGGAATGTAAATTGATGCAGCCACTGTGGGAAACAGTATGAAGGTTCCTCAAAAAGTTAAAAATAGAAATATCATACAATCCAGCAATTCCACTTCTTGGTATTTGCCGAAGAAAATGAAAAAAAAAAAAAGAACTAAATGGAAAAGACATATATAATCCTATGTTCATTGCAGCATTATTTACAATAGCTAAGATATGGAAGCAACCTAATGTCCATCATAGTTGAATTCATAAAGAAGATGTGGTTTATACATATATAATGGAATATGACTCAGACATAAGAATGAAATCTTGCCATTTGGGACAAATATGGATGGATCTAGAGGGTGTTGTGCTAAGTGAAATAAGTAACAAAACAGAAACAGACTCATAGGTACAGAGGGTTGCCAGAGGGAACAGGGGTGGGAGGGATGGAGGAAACAGATGAAGGAAATGAAGAGGTACAATCTTCCCGTTATAAAGTAAATAAGAAAAGGGATGTAACAGGGAATCATAGTCAATAATATTGTAACAATCTTGTATGGTGATGTCACCAGCCAGACCCCAAGACCTGACCTTTACTACCCATCTCCTTGTACCCACCAACCTTGGTCCTGCATTTTTCCTTAAGCTCTTCTTTCCAGCTTCTGTCTTAACTCAGGCAAAAGACCCTGAGGGCATAATATCCCATTAATGAAACAGAAACTACCACTCAAGCAATACTAACTGCCCAGAGGAAGAGCTCTGGTGGTCCTAAACCCCTGACTCGGGCTTGTACAGATGGACCATGGAGTGACCTCCGGAATAACCAACAATTACCTTTACCTCATTATAATACTAATGTAATACCAAGGAGGAACACAAACCTCATTTACAGAACAACCCATTCACCCTTCCTGGGGGAGTCCCAGCTTTGAAAGTTATTCCCGAGGATCTCCTTATTTGATGCAAATAAAGCTTCCTTGGTGGGACAACTCACCTGGGTGTAGTTTCTGTGACTCACCAAGGAGCAAACTCCTGTTGGTTCTGTTACAGTAACAGATGTTTACTACACATAGTCAATAATACTGTAACAACTTTGTGGTGATAGATGTTAATTAGATTTATTGTGATCACTTCATAAATAATGTATATAAACTTCATATAAATACTGACTCAATGTTACACCTGAAACTAATACAATATTATATGTTAATTATTCTTCAATAAAAAAGAAGACACAAGTTTATCAGATCACGCAGGGCAACTTAACAGCAGGAGGAAAGAAGACGTTAATTGTGCTAAGCAAAATCAGCACTAACTGTCCTTTATGTTTACCACCCAAATCCTGAAGTTGCTCAAACAGAAATAAAACCGAATAATAAATTTAGAACAATACATTCACAGAAAATCTCTAACTTGGAATTTACTACTAAAAATAAAATAATAGCAAATAGTCCGGTACAACTACCAAAGATATTCATTTAACTCTTCTCATCTGTGAAGTGAGAATAAGAGTAACATTCACCTCACAGGTTTGTTCTGATTAAATGAATTAATAAAACAACGGAATAGTAAGTGCTTTATAAATTTTTGTTCTTATTTTAATAGAAGGCATTGCTCTTCCTCCTCCAAATTAAACAAGTCAAAAAGAAAAACAATCCAGGGGCGCCTGGGTGACGCAGTCGGTTAAGCCTCCGACTTTGGCTGGGGTCCTGATCTGGGCTCCTAGCTCAGCGTGAAGTCGGCTTGTCCCTCTCCCTCTGTCGCTCCCCCGGCTCACGCTCACGCGCTCTCTCTCTCAAATAAATAAAATCTGAGAAAAGAAAATGATATAGTTTCCCTTGTGGCTTAAAAAAAAAAAAAAAACTATGGCGGGGGGGTGTGCTGTGCATCAGCTGCAGGTTTAAAAGATAAAAGTACTCATCTAGTAGAAGTACCCATTAAATTGCTCCAGGGAAGCCTTAAAAGTCGTCAAACAGTCTAAAAGGGAAATGAAAGTGAAGCTTCCTACATTTACTTCCGCCAATTCTGTCATTATACCGCACAGCAGATACGCAGTAACCACATCTACGAGTTTCTATTAAGAAAAACAAAATCCTGCATTCCTCTTGGTTTACCATCTAGATGTAACCCCAACCTGTCATTAATTTAGACATTAGTCAAGACCTCAAAACTCTTCCTTCTGCTCCGTAAAATTCAGGAAGGGCGAATACGAGCAAAAAGAAAGGATAGCGAGATGCCATAGCCACATGCATAATTTACATGGTGACCAGAGAGAGTAACCCAGTTTAAACCATAGGCTTGCGTGAAACCAGTCATTCCCAAAGTACCCACAGGGACGGGTCCTGCTGTTGATTCGCTTCACAAAAAGCCATCGTCACGTTTTACGCACGGCCAAAGCCCACTGAGGTGACCTACGCTTCCGAACTTTTTAACACTGCAGTCAAATGACTCGGCATCTTGAACGAACGTGTTTTCAGAGAGTCCCGGAGAGCAGAGGAGGTCTGTCACTCAAAGTACAGACCCTGTCCTCCCGCGGGGGCAGGCGGCGCTCGGCCTGGGGCTGGCAGCCCGGGGAGGGGAGGGTCTGCGGCCGGGCAGCCCCCGCTGCCCGCGGCCGCCGCCGGGAGGGCCGGGCGGAAAGGGCCACAGCTCCCGCTGCGACTCCCTCCCGGGAGCTTCCCGCCACCCCGCCCCACGCGGCCGCGGAGAGGACCTGTGGAACCGGTACACCCGAGGCGTCCCACCCACCAAACTCCGACGTGGAGACAGCGACGTCCGCGGCCCCTCCTCGCCCGGCGCGCCCCCCGCCGCGGCCGCTCCCCGCCCTTCCCCGCGAACCGCCCGCAGGCCGACTCACCCCGGGACAGGCGTCGCAGGCGCCGGGCGCACCGGGTGCTCTCTCCGCCGCAGCGCGCCCTCCGGGAGCCCGGGATGCGTGGGCGACTACGGAAAGCCGAAAGAGTCAGCCCGCCTCCGTTTCCCGGTTCGCGGGCCCCCCCCCGAGGGCGTGGCCGGCGGCCCCGCCTCTGGGTGCGGGGCGTGCTCGGGGCACTGCGGGCGTGTGGCCCGGCCGGCTGCCGGTCGTCCCCGCGGTGGACCTTCGGCACAGCGTCCGGGGATTGGACCGCGACCGGCTTACTGCGGGACGGACGGAGGGGATGCACGGCAGAGGGTGTTTTAAAGAATTCCTGAGCGTGTCCGCCTGCTTCTGCCCGGTCGTCGGGGTGGGAGTGCGCGGAAATGGGCTGGAAAGGAGAAAACTGATGCTCTCTCCGCCCCACGTGTTTCCGCCCGCGCAGGGGTCCCGGCCTCTGCCTCGGGTCAGAGTCCAGATGGTGCTGTGAGCGATAACCCGACTTGGAGACGCCCCTTTTGGCCAGCACACAGCCTGGGTGTCAGAGGAATGCGGGGGAAGTGGGTTCGCTACAGCGGCACTGCGCCCAGTCCGAAGCACCGCGTCTGGCTACTCTAACTTGGACTTGCAGCCGCTGAGGCTGACTCGCCAAGTCCTTTACGCGCTGGTTTTCTAAGCTACGCGCCTCCCTAGGGGGAAAAAAAAATGGCAGCAGAATGGGACACAGTTACGAGCAGACTTAGATAATCAGTGAATAACTGATTTCTCAGCTCAGTTCTCACTATTCTTGCTTCACCCACAGTGGCCGCTAGTTTGCTGTAAAAACAGAGAAATGTAAATAAGGTTATGTAAGCTACCCAAAACGGTTGGCTGCTCGCGGTTTTCTGTTCGGCACCGCAAAGATCTCATGTTCCTACGTGTCTCTACTTGATTTTTATCCACGTTCGTTTTGAAAGACCTGTTTTTGGTGTCGCCACTTTGGGCTTTCTTCTCGGTGGCTTCGGCTGTTATTATTTTTTGTAATTGAAGAATTCATTACAAATCCCATACCAGTGAACTCACGTTCCGATTTACTGTTACTTTTCTCTCTTTCTCCTATTCATTTTCCAAGTTTGATTCACTCTTCAGGAGCCAGTGTAAATAGCTGCATTTAACCCATGACGTGCACTACCTTGGATTTGTACTCATCCTTCTGTGCGTTGTGTTCTATCCAACTCGATTTTAAACCGAAAAAAGGAACTTGTCTTATATGCTCCCCACGCTCAGTGTGATGCTTCTCATGAAGTAGGCACTAAATGTTAGGTTGAAATAATAGGTTATTGATGAGGTGAGGAGCAATCAAATGTCTACACAGTTTTGCCTGGGTTTCGTACCTCTCCTTTGCAAAATAAGTTGAAATCAATACACAGCAGTTCTCTATTTCTTTGTTAAGTGGTATCTAGGTGCAAATGTGGCAAAGTAAAACAGCCTGAAATCCAGTGTTGGTGAACTAATTCTGGATTAAAGTGTCCACAAAGCCAGAGAACCTGTTCTTAGAAATAACCCATTCATTAGTCCCTGTTTTGTTCAATGAGCTCAGTATGTTTTTATATCATTTAAAATCTACAAATATATGCTGAATGCCCACCGAGACAAGGTACAGTGATAAGGAATATAAGTATACTAAAAGGTTTTTGTAGTATTTGCCTCATGGGACCCTTCTAGATGGAGAGAAGAGACCAAAACAAAACAAAACAAAACAAAAAAATGGAAATCCCATATCTCCTTCTTGGATTATTGCAAGAGCCTCCTAATTGGTCCCCCTGCTTTTTGCTCTTGCTCCCCTACAATCTGATGTCAACACAGCAACCAGAAAGATCAGGACAAAATATAATTCAAACAATGTTACTACTCTGCTAAAATCTTCCACTAGCTGTTGTTCATTCTTTGGGTAGATACTGGAGTCCTTACATGATCCGCCTACCACCCACACACACTCTCACTTCTTTTCCTACTACATTCTTCCAGCAAGCACACTGGCCTTCTTGGTATTCCTAGGGCCTGTTTGGCACACTCGCCGCCCCCCCCCACAGAACCTTTGCATTTGACAACCTTTTCCTCATTAAAGTCTACTCAAATACCAATTTTCAGTGAGCACTCTCCTGACCACCATATTTAAAATCTCAAACACCCTCCCAAAACACACACAAAATCCCTATCACTTTTCCTTGCTTTATTTTTCTCTAGCACTTACCATATTCTAATATGCTATATAATTTACCTTTTTACTTTATGTGACTTCACCCACCAAATGATAAGCTTCATGAGGACAGGGAGTTTTCACTACTCTTGCTTCAATGGGGTTTACATTCCAGCGGGGGACACAGAGAGTGAGGAGTTTCAGAGAAGAATAAAAAAGGGTAATGTAATTGGGAGCCGTTGGGTGACTGCTTTAATTGGGCGCCGGGGAAATCCTTTGCAAAGAGGTGATGTTTAAACTGCTGGTGAATGAAAGAGGCAGCCAAGTGAAGATCTTGGGTAGGAGCATTCTAGGCAGAGGGAATAGTAATGGAAGATCCCTCTGGTTCTTGAGAAATGCATTTTAACGTGTTCAGGAATAGAGAGGTCACAAGCATGGCTGACACATAGTAAAGGAGACAATGATGTGAGATGAAATCATAGAATTTGATGAGGTCACCTACGAGAGTAGATAGATGGAGAATTTGACCTAGGACCGAGCCCTGGGGAGGTAAGTCAAGAAAAGTCAATGGAAGAGACTGAGAAGAGGCAGCCATGGAGACCTGCTGGGAGTGGTGTTCTGGAAGCCAAAGAAAGAAAGGTTCTTGGTTTTGTTTTGTTTTGTTTTTTTAAAGATCTTATTTATTTGACAGAGGGAGAGAGAGAGAGAGAGCACAAGTAGGCAGAGTGGCAGGCAGAGGGAGAGGGAGAAGCAGACTCCCCGCTGAGCAGGGAGCCGGATGCGGGACTCGATCCCAGGACTCTGGGATCATGACCTGAGCCAAAGGCAGCCACTTAACTGACTGAGCCCCCCAGGTGCCCCGAAAGAAAGTGTTTGAAGAGAGAACAAGCCAGTTGGTGCCACATGCTGCTGAGAACATAGAAGTGACCCATGGATTTAGCAACAGGGAGGTCATCAGTGATTCACTCTGAAGTGGGCTGAGAAATGTGAGGCAAAGTGGCAGAAATCAGGACTATCTATATTTTAAGAAGTTTAGCTGTGAAGAACAGAGCGACTGTTGTAGCTAAGGAAGCAGTGGGATAAAAAGAAGATTTTGATTTTGTTTTGTTTCTGTTTTTGTTTGTTTTAAAAAGAGAGGATACTGGGGCGCCTGGGTGGCTCAGTCGGTTAGGCAACCCACTCTTGATTTCGGTTCAGGTCATGATCTCAGGGTCATGGGATCTAGCTCCCAAGCAATCAGCGTGGAGTCTGCTTGTCCCTCTCCCACCCCCGACCCTCCCTCCCACTCTCCCACCCAACTTTACCCCCTACCCTGCCCTACCCTTCCACCCCCCATCTCATGCACATGTGCTCTCTCTCGTTCTCAAATAAATAAATTAATTATATCTTTAAAAAAAGAAGATACTACAGTGGTGCCTTGTAGACTTTCAACAAGTAATCCACAGTAACAACTACATTTACACTGTGAATTGTTGCATACATATTTAAAATTATGAAAACAAAAACTTTGCAAAACAATACTCTTGCATTCTAATTTTTCATTTTAAAAAAAATGCTGCTTATAACCCACTGAATTGTTTGCAAGACCCATTAGTGGGTTGTAAACTGAGCCTTGAAAAACATTTTCAGGGGTGTATTGGAGCTGGCTCACACTGGCTTGCGAGAGCCAATTTTGCACATCTCTTCCATGTGGGTATCTTGAAATTCGCCAGGAATGGAAGTTTTTACACCACAGGCATAGACAACCACTGCAACCTAAGGCTTTCCCCCATTCACCCCAGTCTCCAAAGCTGGATATTAAACATTTGCCACCACATTACTGACCGTAATTCTATGCATGATCCAGTAGAACAGAGAACTCTAATGATGTAGGAGAAAGGGGATGGTTACAAGAGTGGTTCTTTAGATGATTTTGCCCCCAAAACACCATAATATACTTTCAGAAATCAGTTCAAAACAGTAACGTAGATGTCACAAAATTATTTGCAGACAGTTGCCTTAGACTTCCAAAGCTGAAGGGACCATCGCTAGTTGGAATCAATTTTTTTTCATCGCTACTGTCCTCTTTCTTCACCCAACAAGACATATATGTATGGTAAGCGTGGCTGCCAATTTAGAAATAGTATGATATAAAAATTGTGTCTTCTAAGCAAAATGTGAACTAATGTATATTGCCCCAATTTTGAAAAAAGTAGTAAAAAATGATATCGGATTTATGCATTGAAACTCTGTATGCTCTTGCTACTTGGTAGGATTACCTACCACCTTACAAAGAAATACCTGCCATAGTTTGTTAATGATGTGAATTGTGTTGTTTAAAGGTAGGAAGCACTTCTGGTGGCAATTTTGCTTGTTATTGTGTTGCTGTGTTTTTGTTATTATAATTAAAAATGTTTTACCTCCGGGCGCCTGGCTGGCTCAGTTGGTTAAGCGACTGCCTTCGGCTCAGGTCATGACCCTGGAGTCCCGGGATCGAGTCCCACATCGGGCTCCCTGCTCGGCAGGGAGTCTGCTTCTCCCTCTGACCCTCCCCCCTCTCATGTGCTCTCTATCTCTCATTCTCTCTCTCTCAAATAAATAAATAAAATCTTAAAAAAAAAATTTTTTTTTTTACCTCCAAGCATTGATTGGATGGTGGTGCCAGGGCTGGGAAAATAGGCCTCAAATCAATAATTTTGGAATACAAGTTAGGTGTGCTAAAACACTGTAAAGAACTTTAAATAACTCCTTTGACAGATCATGCTGTGCATTTAGAAGTCAAAACTCTAGAACCTTTAGCAAGAATAATGATATATAAAAAAGCAATATTAAAAAATCTGCCACAATAGTTATAGATTTATGAGCTCTGAGAACATACACCTGCTTTCCATTTAGTCCCGTGAGAAAATTAGTCTTGAATTATGCAGATTTTAAATGATGCTGTCTTCGGGA